AGACGGAGATGTCGCCTCTGCGGCGATGGTGGCACCACCTTTGATCTTCGGCCCTTTCACATTGACGTTAAATCCCGACCCTGAAACCTTCGGTGCAGACACGTCCAAGGCGGGAGCGTCGAGGTGGACGCCCACTCCGGGCTCCCTGACGTCGACACGAGGCGCTTCCACGCTGACTTTTGGACCTTTGATGGTGCCGCCAACATCCACGTCTCCCTGGAGGTTTGGTCCTTTCAGCTTCAGGTCAACGTCCGGCAGGGAACCGCCAGGGGACTGCACTTGAAATTTCGGCCCTTTCACTTCCACGTTGGGTCCTTCCAATCCAACACCAGCCCCGGAGCCCTTCAGGCCTCCTTTCACCTGGGGGCCTTCAAGACTGACGCCTACGTCAGCTCCATCCACACCAAACTGGGGCAGCTTGAGGGACGGAAGCTTGATGGTGCCACCCAGAATTTCAAAGCCGGCGTCGGATGCGTCCACGGATGCTTTGGGGGATTTAACGCCGGCAGAAACGTCCAGATCTCCTTTCAACTTTGGTCCTTTCAGGTTTACATCCATATCCGGCGCAGAAACGCCCACTGAGGGCCCTTTGATACCGACGCCGGAGCTGCCAAGATGGAGATTCGCCCCCGGGGCAGAAACGTCCACCTCCAGTGGTGGGACGGAGCAGTTGACGCCTCCTTTCACGCTCAGGTCAGGTGCCTCCATCGTGGGGGATTTCAACTTGGGCAGCTTCAGCTTTCCTCCCAACTCTCCAACATCGATGCCCGGTGCCTCCAGGTGGACGTTTGGCCCTTCCACAGAACCCGAAACATCCAGATCTCCCTTTAGTTTTGGTCCTTTCAGGTTTCCATCGAAATCAAGTCCAGAGATTTGGGGCCCTTTGAGTTTGACATCACCACCACGGAGGTTCACATCAGCTGAGGGGAGGCTCACGCTTCCATCCACAGCTGGGACCGAGATCTCCAAGTTTGCCTCCGGCATTTCCAGTCCAAGACCCGTTTTCCCCACCTTGGGCAACTTCAGCTTTCCATCAAGACCTTCCAGTTCTACTCCAGGAACGCCGACTTCACCCTTGACTTTTGGTCCCTTCACGTTTAAGTCGACATCTGGCACCGGGATGGAGGGAACGGCGACGTCAATGGTGGGTCCCTTCAGGTCGCCCTCGATTTTCAAGTCCCCTGCGCCCACCTGCCCACCGGGAAGTTTGAACTTCGGTTTCTTCAGGCTCACATCAGGAGCTTCAGCGTCCACGTGGATGCTCGGGCCTTTGACATCACCTTTGCCAGTTGGCACAGAGACTTCCAGATCAGGCGCTTTGAGATCTCCCTCGATTTTGGGGGCGGCCACAGAAACGTCCCCTCTGAACCGGTGCGACTTCAGATCGAACTCCACATCTGGGAAGGAGATTTTCGCAAACATGGGTTTCTTCCCTTTGGGGGACTTCACCGCAGCGTCACCTTTCATCGTCACGTCCGGACCAGCGACGTTCACATCCAGGTCGGGAGATTTCAAACCGGCGTCGAGCTCTCCCCCACCCACGTTCACGTCGAACCCGCCTTTCTTCCCTTTCACTTTCGGGCCACTCATATGAAGCTTTGGCATCTTGAACTTGCTCTTCTTCCCCTTCCCGCCGATGTTGACGTCGGGCGACTCCACGTTCAGCTCCGCCTCAGGTAAATCCACTTCTGCCCCTGGGACTTTCATTTCCGCCTTCGGGCTCTTCATCCCAAACCCAAACTTTGACTTCTTCACCTTGGGCAGTTTGATGTTTGCCTCCGGGCCTTCGATGTTCAGGTCGGGACACTCGATGTCAACCTCAGGGCTTTTGACTCTCAGTTCTGGGCCTCTGATATCAACCTGGGGACCTTTCAGGTTACCTTCTGCCTTTGGGCTCGAAACGTCAAAGCCTCCCTTCGCTTTGTGGCCTTTCAAATTCAAGTCTATCTCTGGCATTGAGATTTTTGGAACGTTCACATGCATTTCTGGCATCTTCACTTTAGGACCTTTCAGTTTGCCCTCTGGACCTTCCACACTCACGTCTGGGATGCTGATATCTACCTTGGGGCCTGAAAGATCCACCTCTGTCTTTGGCGGGTTCATGTCCACGTCAGGACCTTCTCCTTTAAAGCCAAACTTGGGCAGCTTCATTTTGGGCAGCTTCATTTTTCCCTCCAGACCATCGATGTCAACCTCTGGCCCCTCAAGATTTACTTTGGGGCCCTTGATATCAACTTCAGGACCCTTCAGACCTCCCTCGAGCTTCGGGCCCTGAAGGTCAGCGTCACCTTTCAGTCTCAGTCCCTTCAGGTTCAAGTCTATGTCTGGCATGGAGATCTGGGGCGTCTTGACGTGCATCTCTGGCATCTTTATCTTGGGCCCTTTGAGTTTCCCATCTGGACCTTCAATGTTCACATCCGGCGCCTGAATGTCCAACTTGGGGCCTTTGATGTCAACGTCTGGACACTGCAGATCCCCTTCCAGCTTTGGTGCCGAGACATCCACGTCTCCCTTCACTTTGGGGCCTTTCAGGTTAAAGTCAACATCGGGCATGGAGAACTTGGGTGCCTTGATGTGCATTTCTGGCATCTTGAATTTTGGGCCTTTGAGTTTCCCTTCCGGCCCTTCGATGGTCACGTCAGGAGTCTCAACGTCGATTTTGGGGCCTTTCACATCGATGTGGGGTGCTTTCAGGTCACCTTCGAGCCTGGGTCCAGAAACGTCTACATCTCCTTTCAGCTGAGACCCCTTGATGTTAAAGTCGACGTCAGGGATGGAGACCTTGGGGGCCTTGATGTGCATTTCGGGCATTGTAAATTTGGGACTTTTGTATTTTCCATCCACGTTCAGATCAGGAGCCTCTACGTCTACGCTGGGGCCCGAAATGTCAATGTCTCCCTTCGGGAGGTTGACGTCGAGGTCCACCCCCTCCCCTTTAAGACCAGGCATGGAAAACTTGGGCATTTTGAACTTGGGCAGCTTGAACTTCCCCTCCGGGCTGTCAACGTGGACATCAGGGGCACCAATGTCTAATTCAGGAGCCCCGATATTGACCTCCGGACCTTTCAGTTCACATTCAACTCCTGGCACTGACACGTCTACGTCTCCTTTAACTTTGGGGCCTTTCAGGTTCAGATCGAAGTCTGGCACAGAGATCTTGGGGGCCTTGATGTGCATCTCAGGCATCTTGAACCTGGGGCCCTTCACCTTCCCCTCTGGCCCTTCGATATCCAGCTCTGGACCTTCAATGTCCACCTTTGGACCAGAAACATCCAGGTCTCCCTTCGGCAGGTTCACGTCCACCTCCGGACCTTCCGCTTTGAAGCCCGGCATCCCGAACTTGGGCATCTTGAACTTGGGCAGTTTGAATTTCCCTTCTGGGCCGTGAAGGTCCACGTCAGGTGCCTCAATGTCCACTTTGGGGCCCTTGATGTCCACCGCAGGGCCTTTTAGGTCACCTTCCAGCTTGGGGGCTGAGACTTCAATGTCCCCTTTCACGCTGGGGCCTTTCAGATTAATGTCCACATCAGGCATGGAGATCTTGGGGGCCTTGATGTGCATCTCGGGCATCTTGAACTTGTGCAGTTTGAATTTCCCTTCTGGGCCGTGAAGGTCCACGGCAGGTGCCTCAATGTCCACTTTGGGGCCCTTGATGTCCACCGCAGGGCCTTTTAGGTCACCTTCCAGCTTGGGGGCTGAGACTTCAATGTCCCCTTTCACGCTGGGGCCTTTCAGATTAATGTCCACATCAGGCATGGAGATCTTGGGGGCCTTGATGTGCATCTCGGGCATCTTGAACTTGGGACCCTTCACCTTCCCCTCTGGCCCTTCAATGTCCAGCTCTGGACCATCAATGTCCACCTTT